CGAGGGAGTCTGTATTCGGGAATTCTAAATATGGAATCTGCGCTAAGGAATCCGTCATGCGGAGTATTTGCTGGTGGCCCCATAGCATAAGGAATATGTATGACAGAGTTCGCACTCTGGAACCTGTATTAAGGAATCCTCCCTTAATGAAAGGGGATCTTGATCTAGGAGTCCCTACTGAGGAATATTTGCTGCTAGATCCCACTACGGAATGTTCATCACGGGAGCCCGACTAAGGGATATGCACAAGAGTTTGCATGAAGGAACCATTAGAAAACGAAGCTTGTCCGAAGGAATCCTTCATAATGGATCTGTGCGAAAGAATCCTGCGGAATCTGTACGAATGAACCTTTGGTGAGGAACCTTTTATTATGGAGCCCTTTTTAATACGGAGTCTTAACTGAGGAACCTTTCTAAAAAGGGCATTCGGATTAAGGGTTCTTGGGCCACAAATGTCTACCCCGGAGTCCATAATGAGGAATAGTTGCGGATGCTTCCATCGAAAGGGGCTTCTCTTGGGGACTCAGTAGTACAACAACCGCTAGGAAGTAATTTGTCGTACGGAATCTATGTGAAGGAGTCCTTAGAGAGGAATCTGTACTAAGGAACTGTCAATTGAAGACTATGTTAAGGAACCCCATATTTAGGAATCTTGATTCGGGAACCCGTAGTCAGGAACTTCTTTTACTAAGTGATCTTCAACACGAAATCTTCATTCTGCAATCCGTAATTAGGAATATGTTTCAAGAAACCCTTCATGCGGAATCTGTACTGCGGAATCCTTAGCGGGGAACGTTGGTTGAAGAATCCTTGTTAGGGAATCGTTCCCGAGGAGTCCTTACTAAGGAATCATGGCGGGTTTGGGAGGGGCTTCCATGTGCAAATGCCCCCTTCTCAGCCGCCGTCGTCGCCGTCGTCGTCCTCCTCCTCCTCTGACTCCCCCTCCCCCTTCTCTTCCTCCTCCTTCTCCTCTTCCTCCTCCTCCTCCTCCTCCGCCTCATCTCAGCCAGCAAACCATTGGAGGACACAATGACAATATCAGCCAGCCTTGACTCCAAATAGATAAGAGGACAGGAGGACGACGAGAGGAGGATGGGAGGAGGACGAAAGGAGGACGGGAGCAGGACAGGAGGAGGACGGGAGGAGCAACATCAAGCAAGCAGAAGCAAGCAAGCGGAAGCAAGCAAGCGGAAGCAGGCAAGCGGAAACAAGCAAGCAAGAGCCAGCGATCAAGTGCAAGCAAGCAAGGGCAAGCAAGAGCAAGCAAGCAAGAGCAAGCAAGCGAGAGCCAGCGATCAAGCGCAAGCAAGCAAGAGCAACCATAGGACTCGCCATTGGAAATAGCTGGGGGGGGGCATTGGAAATAAGGGGAGGCCATCGGAAATCGGAAAATGGAGGGGGGGAGGGGAGGGTCATTGGAAATCAGGGGGGGGGGGGCATTGGAAAAAGTGGAGGTCCGAATCCGAAAGACCAATTACTTATGATGAGCTAGGATTCCTATAGGGCCCCGCCCCCCCCTCCTCCCCCACCCCACCCCCCAGAAGTTCCCCAGGATTGTTGTTTTTGTTTACTTTGTTTGTTTTGTTTTGTTTGCTTGTGTTCCTTTGGTCTTGCCTGATTCTGCTCCATAAAGGGGAATATGATCGGGAGGAGGAGGAAGAGGAGGAGGAGGAGGAGGAAGAGGAACAAGAGGGAAGAAGAGGAGGAACGGGAGAAGGAGGAGGAGGAAGAGGGAGGAGAAAAAGGGAACAGAGAGTCTGAGAGAGGCCCCCAGAAGAGGAGGAGGGGGGGGAGGAGGAGGGAGCGGAGGAGGACAGAGGTGGAGGCGGAGGTGGAAGACGCCATGCCGTTTTTCCTTCAAAACGCAGGGGGGCCATGTAGATATGTATAATGTGTATGTATTGAGAGAGGGGGGGAGAAAGAGAGAGAGAGAGAGGGAGAGAAAAATAATAATAACAAACAGAGAGAGCCCTTCCAGGCGAGCTGCTAGGGAACATCAGCAAACACGCGTTGTGTTTATTAGTTCCGCCATCCCGGGAGCGTCCGGCGACAGGTTGTTCTGACATGTCGAGCCGTCTTGGCGTCCGTTAGGCCAGCTTGGATAATCCTGGGCCACCTCTGGCCGCGTTGCCAGCAGCTCGACGCCAGTATGAGGCCTGACACGCATTGATCCGCGCTCTGGTCAGGTAGCAAGTCATGTGAGCCTCGTGTACCCTCGCAATCCGTCTTTCTGGTGCACTAGCGTCGACTATCGGCCGGTGATCGATGAACGAACTCCGATTTAGCGTCGATCTATCGTCGACAAGCGTCGATTAGCTTCGGTTCGCAAGAGCCAACAATCGGGGGCGGAGAAGAGGGGGGTGATGACTAGGGGGGGGGATATCATGGCGGGGGCCATGATATTTCCCCAGATCCCATGGCGCCTCTTCTTATTTCATTACGTCCCTGGCCCCCCCGCTGGGCCGCGCACATGCCGCCGGTCATGATTTGCACCCCCCCCTCTTGGACACCCCCCTCTTGGCCGCTCCCGAAACAAGACGGTAGGGGAGGCTCCCGCGAGCTGCCACCGCACTCTGGGGTGGGCGGGGTGAGCCCGGCCTGTGCCCGCTCTGGGTGGGGGGGGCTTTCTCGCCCGCGCACCGCCCGCTCTCGGGGGGCCGTCGCCCACTCTTCGGCCCCAGCTGGGCCCACCGGTCCCCCAATGGGCGCCCTCGCGCGCGCGCGGAGCAGGAACAAAAGCAGGCCGCCCGCTCTGGGGGGACTTTCGCCCGCTCACCGCCCGCTCTCGGGGGGCCGTCGCCCACGCTTCGGCCACCGCTGGGCCCACCGATCCCCCCATGGGCGCCCTCGCGCGCGCTCGGAGCAGGAACAAAAACAGGCCAACCACCACGCGATCGTGTTCTTGTTCCCTGCTTTGGCGATCGGCGCGGGCCCTCGCACCCCCTTCCGACCTTCGTGGAGTAGATCTTGGCTCTTGTTGGCGCCTGTTTCAAGCACGTGGAGCCTCCCCCATAGGACGCACTGTTGCAAACAGTCCCTTTAAGCAGAGGTCCGCAGCCAGACTCTACCCCCGGCCCCCCCCTCCGCCAAATCGAATAAGAAAACGTGCGCCACCTGATCTCTTCCTGTTTGAAGGACGACGGAAAGAGCGAGGGAGTGATGACGTTCTGGCTGGGGCGAACAAGCCTCATGGAGGGGTGGTTCCAGGGGGCCAGGAAGCGCGAACGCACAACATAACACGCCCAGGGGGTGGGGGCAAGCTGGCAGGTTTTGGGGTCCCGGGGTAACTCTAGAGGCTTCGAGATGGTACACGAGGGCGTCCAAGAGGCTACCAAGATGGACTAAAGGTCCCTCCAGGCGGTCCAAGAGGCCCCAAGACGGTCCAAGAGCGTTCCAAGACGGCCCAAGATGGCCTGAAGACGGCGCCCGAGGCCCGCAAGACGACCCCAGAGCGCTCCAAGAGGATTCCCCAGCTGGCCTCAAGTTGTCAAAATTATCCTTTGGATGAAGTGTTTAGCACTCTTGCTGTTTCGGGCCTCCAGCAGCCCACGACGGCCCCAGAGGCCTCCCAGATCGCCCCAAGATTACCAGAGACGGCCCAAGGGGGCGCGAAGAGGGGGAAAGCGAAGGAATCCTGAGTGCCCTTGAGGCCTTAAGAGACCCACGAGAACCCAAGAGGCCCCTAAAAGGCCCCAAGAAGCCCTCCAGACCTGAGATTCCCAAGAGGCTCCCAAGGGGCTCCATGACGGAAGCCCCTTGAGGGCGCCGAGTGAAGTGTCATTGAGATTCTAAAGAGATCCCCACCAAGACTCCCAAGAGCTCGGGATCGACGGAAAAAGACTTTACGCGCAAGTGTAGTGCTACCAAGGCTCCCAAGAGCCACCGGTGACGGAAAAAGCTTTGGCACGAGTGCAGTGCCACCAGGGCTCCCAAGACCTCGGGGTGACGAAACAAATTTTCGCGAGCGGGGTCCCATGAAGTGAAGCGTTTTTTCGTTTCCGTGCTGGTGCAGGTTTATCTCGCCGTTGGCCCGGCGGGCTGGCGAAGTATTACCTGACCTTCCCATCCTACCTCGGACTGTTCTCAAGCGAGGGGCCTGTTGAGTCGAACGAGGCACTGTCAAAATCAGAGTCACGCGCACGATCATTTGGAGCAGAAGGAGCCTGAGCAGCATTACATATTACATAGCCGCAACCATGCTAGCCCAACTAGGACATCGAATCGGGAAAAGAAGGCAGAAGTACCCTGCCGCAGCCAGGCTCAGGGCAACGGTGCTGTGATGAGGATGGGTCAGGGGAGACGCCCCGTGCCCCATAGCCACTTGGGCTCACCCCGCTGTCTGGCGGCCAACTCGCCCATGGCACCGCGGAGATCAATGAGCAGGCGCGCGAGAGGCGCGGCGGGGCCCCCCGGTGGCGCGGGGGCGCTGCCGCTGGCGGCGGCCGTGCTGTGCACCCTCGCGCTGAGCCAGACGCACGTCGCCTTCGCGCCGCCCGCGCTGCCCGCCCAGGCGGCGGGCGGGGCTCGCACCGCGCTGGGCGCCGCGGCCCGGCACGGCGCCGCGACGCCGGGCCCCCGGCCGGCGCCCCACGGCGCGGCGGGCCTGGGCCCGTGGCGGGGCGCGGCCTGCGCGGGGCTGCTGCTGCTGGGCGCGCTGCGCGGCGGCGGCCGGGCGCGCGGCGCGCGCCCGGCCGCAGGCGGTGCTGCGCCAGGCGATGCCGCGCACCGCCGCGGCGGCCCCGGCGCCACGAGCTGCCCGGCAGGCGGGCGCTGCTGCGGCCGCGGCCGAGCGCGCCGAGCCCGCGCCCGCGGCGCCGAAGCTCGGCGGCCTGCGGTGGAGCGGCCCCCGGTCGCGCCCGCGGCGCCGCCAGCGCCGCGGGCGTCGGCCGCGCTCCCGCCGAGGCGTGCCGCGACGGGCTGGTGGCGCCCCGCGCTGCGCTCGGGGCGGGCGCGGCGCGCGCAGGGCGCGCGCGCCTCGCAGGCCGCGGCCGCCGCGCAAGGGCGACCGCGGGCTCGGCCCGCGCCTGCCGCGCGGCGCGGCGGAGCGCGGGCGGCCGCCTGCAGGCTGAGCGGGTGGCGGTGCCTCGGCGGCCCTCCTTCGACGTCAGCCGCGTGCGCCGGGAGATCCAGGTGGGGCTGCGGGAGCAAACGGGGCCGGCTGCGCGGACATCCGCGCGCAGACGCAGCCCGCGCAAGGTCGCGCGCCAGCGCCCTCGTCTCCAGTGTAGCGTGCCGCGCTGGCGGCCCGCGAAAGCCACCGCGCAAGGTCGCCGAGCCGTCGCTGGTAAGGCCCGTTTCCTTTCGTCGGTCAGGTGGGGCTGCGGGTCCCCACGCACGCCAAGTCCAGCCTCCGGCGCGAGCACGACAGCCTGGCCATGCACAGGAGGGCTTGCACATCCAGGTCAGACGGACAACAAAAGCAGAGCCTATCTCACTACTACGTAACGGATGCCTACTTCAATATCAGACAGGATTTCCCTGTGGGATCCAACACCTCTGGTTGATGATCGTGAGCGCGTCTGCACTGGCGCAGCGGGATTCGGGAACGGCGCCAGAGGCGGTTGCGATCGCTTTGGGCTCTCTGGGTTGGCCTCGCGCTTGACCTGTAGCGTTCCCCCGATGAGTCTCGCCCAGTGGCCGGACCGCTCAAAGGGCGCAGTCTGTACTTCTGCGATTAGATTCCGCGCGTCGGAACTATTCGAAGGTTTCCGAAGGTTGGGAATTAAGTCAGAGGCTGTTGTTCTTCTTCCTGGTGGACCTTGCACCGAGGAGGTTGTCCGTTGGGTGACGCCACTGGCTAATTCGAGCAGCGCGTACATTCACCACGTGGCGCCTTCCTGTCGGAGGACACTCGTCCGCCCGCCCGCAGCGCGCGCCCCCGTTTGAATGATGGCTGCGCTCGTGGCTTCCACGCCGCACGTGCGTGAACGCGCGCTGGCGTCCTGATGCTTCTGTCGCCTGCACGGTGGAGACTGTTTCGACATAGACTCGCACGGACACTGTGTAGTCCATCGCTGCAGGCCAGGGCGCCAGCGTGCCCCACCGTGGTGCGCAGCCTTCGTTCCCTTAGTTAGCGGCCGATGGCCCGGCACGATTTTGGTAGACGATTTTCATGGCGCAATGAGTGGATCGGAGCAAAATGTGAGATCTCCCGTGCAGAGCGCCTCCCGTGCCATCGGGTCCTCCTCCTGCGCGGTGTGCCGTGAAACCGCGGGCACGGCGCTTGCCATTGGCCGACATCGTGGGGGTTTCATAGCGGGAGGCGATACAGGTCAGACTGAATGGAGGTGAGGTCGGCGTTTGCAATATAGTGTGGTGGATTTGTGAGGTGCGCCGATTAGAAGCATGGGTAAGCTACAGCGTTTGCATTCGTAGAGTGGTGCTCGGGTGCTCGGGGTCATCCGCAGAGATAGCAGGGCGGCAATGTCAGGGCGTGCGATGGGTAGTGGTTGCGCTTGCTGCTGGGGATGCGGCTGGCTGGCCCGTGGCGGTTCAAGGGCCTGTACGATAGGCAACAGCAACAGGGCCTCGTGAGAACGATAGCTGGAGCAGGTCCGTGCTTGGCAGGCACCTCGCCTTGCTCTGTCCACGCACTCGGTCGAGAATAGGACGTAAGCGAGACACAAGAGAAACACCTAGCGAGGAATACAATGAAGGATGTGGACGATCGAGGATGATGAGGCGTGACACGGTGGCGTTGAAATGGAGAAGTTTTGGCCATTCCAAGGGGCGCTTAATATTGCACGGTAGTATGGTCCGCAAAAACTGTTCGACGTGGTTGGCAGGCAATGTTTGAGTTCCGATGTATTCAACCTCGGCCCAGATTCCAAGCTTGTGCGTTTGGTAGGGTCATTCACGAATAGGGCGGAACCGCCGATTAATTAGTTGTATGCGAGCTACCACCCTTCTTATCCGCCTCCGCCATGACGCTAACATGTCACGGAGCAGGGGAGAGAGGGGAGAAGGACGGAGAGGAGCGGAGATTGCCCTCGCTGAGCTTTCTGGGGCAGAACAGCTCTCCTCGCCACGCTCCAGCCTGCAGAAAGTGACGCTGATATTCCAAGGAGAAGGTGGAGGTGGAAGGGGGGGAGGAGTGGCGGAGGAGGGGATGAGGGGAGGATGGGAGGAGGAGGAGGAGGAAGAGGAGGAGGAGGAGGAGAAGGAGGAGGAGAGGGAAGGGGACGCGAGGGGATGGGGAAGGAGGAGGAGGGGAGGAGGACGGGGGAGAGAGGAGGAGGAGGAGGAGGAGGAGGAGAGGAGGAGGAGGAGTGGAGGAGGAGGAGGGGAAGGAGGAGGAGAGGAGGAGGAAGAGGAAGAGGAGAGGATTGGAGGGGGAGGAGGAGGAGGAGGAGGGGAGGAAGGAGGGGAGGAAGGAGAGGAGGATTGGAGGAGGAGGTGGAGGAGGAGTGGAGGAGGAGGGAGGAGGAGGAGGAGGAGGAGGAGGATGAGGAGGGAGGAAGCGGAATTGGAGGAGGAGGAGGAGGAGGAAGGAGGAGGAGGAGGAGGAGGAGGAGGAGGAGAAGGGGAGGAAGGGAGAGGTGGATCGGAAGAGGAGGAGGACGACGACGACGAGGAGGAGGAGGAGGCGGAGGAGGAGGAGGAGAAGGAGGGGAGGAGGGGAGGATGGGAAGAGGGGAGAAGGAGGAGGATAAGCAGGATATCCAGGAGACCTCGGGTCCTGCCTCTACCGTGTAGGGGGGACCTGTCACGGTCGGGGGGCCCTCATCCAAAGGCCTCCCCGTGGTCGGGTGCTGGCGTTTCCACGGACGGTTCAATGTACCTTGTGAAGTTGCTCGGTGGCCCTTGCACTCGCTTCTGCTGAGACCCTGCCAACGCTGTTGGGCGTAGCAGGCACACACTCTGCATAACGCACAGCCTGGTCGGATCAGGAGTTGGTGCCGGTTTCTCCGTGCCAGCTCTGCCCTGAGAGCCGCGTTTGGGCCCTCGAGTGGCCCTTCCGACCTGGCCTCCTGCTCATGGTGGTATGCGTGATATGAGGGTCAGAGCGACGATGCGAACTTTGGGGGGGGATTATAAAGTTCGCCCCCCACGCCTCTTGTGGCACATTGAACCTCAACACCCCGTGGATAATCAGATAGAGGGGGTGAAGGGGGGGAGTCGCTTTCATTTTCCGCGGCATGCGGTTACTAACGCTGACAGGCACAGGCAGCCGGCAGGGGAATCAATCTTGTTCACGGCTAAAAGGAGGATAGGTATGGTAGGTGGCACTTGGCGCCTTGAATTAGAGGTGATGGCACATGTGCCTTGAGGTGGCGGTACGGGTCACCCCCCCCCTACGGCCGTCTTCGTTGGCCGAGGGACCGTAAGTGGGTCCTCGGCACCCTCCAGTGCCAATTGATGGCAGACTTGAAGGTTGACTGGTGGGGGCGGGAACCCAATCAGCCCCATTAATGGAAGCTGCGAGGGGTGTGAGGCCGCTTGACGGTCCTCAACGGCGAGGCCTAATGAATTCCTCGCCGAGGGGAGGGGGGACACGGAGGGGCGGGGCGTAGCGACGATGCCGTCCGCGAAGCGCCCTGGATGCCGTCCGCGATGTGCTCTGGTCCTGAGGCGGGAATTCCTGAAAGGGGGGGCGCGAAACACAGAAACGGGGATACACATATTCGAGCCGAGTCCGAACTGGGTAGGCCCTGCGCACTTAGTACCCCACGGCGGGGATAACCAGTGCGAGCGCTCACGCTCTGGTACCAGATGGTTGCGCCCTCCAGGGGAGGAGTGGAGGAGGAGGAGAGGAATGGAGAGGGACGTCCTCGCCGACCACCTTCTGGCAGGGAATCCTGCTGCAGTGCGCTCCCTCCGAACAGCCTTGGACAGAGGGTCACGCGGGTGCAGAGGAGGAGGAGGAGCAGGAGGAGGAGGAGGGCGTGAGGGTAGATGTCTTCTCTGTCTGTCTGTCTGTCTGTCTGTCTGTCTGTCTGTCTGTCTGTCTGTCTGTCTGTCTGTCTGTCTGTCTGTCTGTCTGTCTTTCTCTCTCTCTCTCTCTATCTTTGGTTCTTTGTCTCTATCTTCTTCTCACTCTCGTGGTCACCGCCTGGATCGATCGGATGTCCTTTGTCGTGGGAGCCCCTGGTGCCGTCATTGCCTCTGCAGCCTTCCCGACGTCCTGTGCTTTCTAGGCGTCCTCGGGCTGCACAGTCTCATCTGCATTCTGAGCTTCCGTAGCCTTCTTGGTCTCCTCTGCTTCCCTGGCCTCCTCAGCCTTCTTCGCCTGCTCCTTCTTCTTGGCCTTTTGGGCCTCCTCGGCCTCCTATGCCTCACCGGCCTTCATTGCCTCCTGCCATGTTGACCTCCTCGGACTACCCGGTCTCGTCTGCTTTTTCAGCTTCTGCAGCCTCCTCCCCTCTGCCTCCTCCTTCTCCTCCTCTTCCTCTTCTTCCTCCTCCTCCTCCTCTTCCTCTTCCTCTTCCTCCTCCTCCTCCTCTTCCTCCTCCTCTTCCTCCTCCTCATCATCATCATGAGCTTGTTCTTGAAACGTTGTTGCCCGTCTGCCCTTCCGCGGCCCTTTTCGGCTCCGTCCAAATTCGCTCAAGCTTCATTCAAGACGGCCCACGCCAGCAGTCTTGCGGGCCTCGCTCCGGGCGGCGACCTGGCTCGCGCACCGCGCCCTCGAGAGCGCGGTGCTGTCGGAGGCAGGGTCCCGTGCTGTGGCGGTGCGGGTGTTCGGCGGTGTGCGCATCGCGTTCGGCACGGTGCTGGCGGGAGGCGTGGTCGTGGGGTACCCATCGGTCGTTGAAAGTATGTATTTTTGGATTCCCAGATCCCAATCTACTTTCAGCGCCCTCCTACCTCAAGAGTCGAGTGGTTTTCCCTCTTCCCTCCTCTTCAGGAGGCGGGCGGAAACCCCATCTATTTCCAACGCCTTCCTACTTCCTGTTTCTACCCACTTCTTCCGACCGATGGGTACATGATCGGTGCCAATGGCAGCTGCTGCTGCCTGGGATATCGGTGACCGCGTCGAGTTGCAGTGGCGCGCGGGCGGGAGCTGGCAGGCTCGAGTCATCGTGGGATTCGCCACTGCCGTGGAGCACGAGGAAGTAATGGGGACAGCTCCTCCAGCGGGAGCAGAGCAGAGACAGGAGATCGTGTACAGGACCACCCCCGACGGCGACATGTACCCCCACGTGCTGTGCACATCGACGTGCTGCGAGGCGCAGTCCGAGTCCACCAAGGGCGGAGGGACCACGCGTCAGTGGTTGGCACGGCCCCCGCCGCCAACACCAGGACGTACGGCGCCGACTGGACGCCCGAGCCTCGAGTGTTCCTGGAGGCGGTGGCCGCCGCGTCGGCACGCTCCTTCGCCGAGGTGGCGACGAGGCTGCGCCATCCACCAGCGGAGAGGGCGGCCGCCTTGGACCCAGATTCAGTTCGGATTCCCCCTGAGTGGGAAAGCGTATCCAACCTGCCCGATCCTGACGACAAGGGGTGGCACATCCTGGCGGGCAGCGACCAGAGCAGCTCCGCCAAAGTGCCGAACCTGACCGTGGACTACGGGATCATCGGCGAGGGCCTGGGCTTCGTGAAGGTGGACAACAACTCGTACCTTGTCCAGTACGGCAGCCCTGACACGGCCCTCGACGCACGGGTGCTGGCGATTCACTAGAGTGCAGGGGACGGCCGCCACTTGGGTTTCCGCGAGGGCGTGACGCAGCTCACGGAGACGGCATGGCCATCCTGGCCGCTGCTTGGGCCAAGGACGGCCGGTTGGGTGTGTCGGTTCTTTCGTGCTCAAGATGTGGCCCTACTTTCCCGCCATGCCCGCTTCAAGGCGGAGGCGGGATTGTCTTCGACGGATCCTGGAGTTGATTTTCATGAGTTCTGCCTGAGGTTACTGCAGATTGGGATTCGGTTTGACCAATTGAATGTTTCTGAGCTCGCTATCTTCGAGTTGATATGCAGGAAAGCTCACATGATTGAGTACAAGTACAGGGACCGCTATTTGCATCGCATGGGCTCGGCAGGAGATGGCCGAGGATGAGCATCTCTATCCCGGGACATCGGAGACCCGGGGGGTGATGATGATATTTCCAGCCATGTCGAGCTACGTGGCCGATGAACTGCACAAGGAGGCGAGTGTCTTGAAGGAGAGGCGAAAGGTACGAGAGGAGGGGTCGACAGCTCGGCGTGGCGGCGCGGGCAGTGGAGCTGGTGACAGCACCGCGGGACGGCAGAGCCGCGCCGACAAGCTGGCGAGTGAGAACAGGATGCCGAAGGAGAAGTTGGCCGCCGCCGACGGGAAGGGGAAGGGCAAATCTGGAGCGGCTGCGGCCGCGGACGGCAAGTGACCCTTCAGCGGTGGCGGTGCCGCGGGAGCTGTTTCCAGTTCCCGTGGCCTTGTGGGCCGAGGAGGACTTCAATGGCTTCCACTCCTCGACTCGGCGTCGGAGAAGCCGCGCACGTCAGACTTTTTATTCGTCGCGCTGGGCATGCGAGGCTCTACGTGGTCTTCAATTGGCAATGCGGGCGGGGCGTGCCCAGCAACTTCGAGGCCCTTTCCTTGGGCCAGATCCAAGGATTTGAGCAAGTGGGCGCCCGAATTCAGGCTCTTGACGGGCCTCCTCGCACATCGGCGGCGGCCCTCGCGGAGCTGTGCCGAAGTACGCAGGGCTATGACTGTCAGCCCGCGAAGTCCATCGCGCACACCGAAGGTCGCGTGAGCCTCCCCAGTGACGCCGCGAAGTGCGACGCCTCCGAGTTGCTGGACGGACGCCCACGTGAGTTGCGGCACGACTGGCGTCAGCGACTGCTGCGTGGCCCCGAGCAGGTCCGCGAGCCAGTCGTTCCGTACTTTGAGAAGTTGCGGCGGTCGTCTCGTCACTATGCCCGCTTCTTCAGCGAAATGTACCAAGCTGGGATGATTCGGTTTTCTTCTCCGCGCGCCTCCACTGCGGGTCCGTTATTCGTAGAGGTCAGGGAACCAGCCGAGGATGATCCTAGACACAAGGGCAGTCAACCAGGAGTTCGCCGACCGCGACACGACAGCGCTGCCGTCGGCTGGAGTCTGGCGAGGCCTGCAGATCCCAGCTAGCCACAACCTCTCGCTGAGTCAGGTGGATATCGAGGCGGCCTTCCACCGCGTCGGGGCCCCGCCTGGGCTCGATGAGATGTTCGCGCTGCCCGCGGTGCCCGTTGACGCCTTGCGGGAGGTGCTGCCCGTGGTGGGCATTGGCGCGCGGCTGGAGGGCAAGGTCTCGCCCTTTTCTCGCGGTTCTCCCCATGGGCTGGAGCTGGAGCTCGCATTTCCGCCAAGCGCTAGTGGTCTCGCAGGTTATCGCGGCAGGCATCAACGGGGACCGCATCATCCAGGACAGGCGAGCCGTGCCTGACGTGGGCGAGGAGGCTGGGGCCGCCGTGTACGTCGACGGGGTGGCCGCCATCGGGCGCAGCCCCACGTCCGTGAGCACGACGACTGAGCAGGTCCAACACCAGCACTTGGAGGCCAACAACCTGAAGTGCAAGGGCGTGCACTCGGACCCTGAGGAACATAAGTTCACAGTCCTGAACTTCGATATCGAGACGGGCCGCATCTCGGCGAGCAAGGGCCGCATATGGAAGCTGCGCCTGGCTTTGCTGGAGATCGCGGAGCGCGGCTACTGCAGCGGGGATGACATGCTGCCCCTCCTCGGCCACTACACCTGGGCGGCGATCCTGCGGCGATGCCTGCTGGGTGTCTTCCACGGCGCCCGCCGCTTTGCTCGCGCTGCGGGCTCGCGACGGTGGCGGCTGTGGCCTGAGGTGGCTACCGAGTGCCGTGTTGCCGCAGCCCTCATCGCTTTCGCCTACCTGGGCACCAAGCTGGAGGTTGACCCCGCGGCCCTAGCCACGGATGCATCTACTGGTTCGGGGAACGTGAAGGGCTCGGGCTTCGGCGGCTTTGCGGTGACGGAGAAGACTTGGAACCCGCGTGACGTTTGGGCCGCCGCCTCTTGCATGGGGCGCTGGCGCTACAGGTCTGAGGCTGCCGTCGGGGCCCGTCGGCATGCCCTCGGCGCTGCTCAGAACCATGCCCACTTCAACGCGATCATGAATATGGAGGGCGCGGCAAGCCCCGAGGGCGATGATGATATGGACCAGTCCAGTCGGGCACTCGCTAGCCGTCGCGATTCGCGCGAGAAGCTGCCGGGCCCGAACGTCAGCCCGTCCGAGGTGGAGCAGGCGACATTCGAGGATATTGATCCGAACTTCTTGTTGCCGCTGGATTCCTGGAAGCTGGAGGTATTCGGGCGCTGGCAGAGGCCTGAGGACACCATGCGCTTGGAGGGCCGCGCTCTGATCACTGGTGTAGGGCATCGGCTGCGACGCGTTGGAGCTATTGGGCATGTCATTCTCAGCCTGTTCGATCACCTCAGTTTGGCACTGGCGCTGGAAAAGGGAAGATCTTCACATTGCATTCTAAATCGGACTTGCAGGGCGTTGGCAGCCTTTAGTATTTTGACGGGGTCTTCCGTGGCCGTGCGCTGGTTCCCGAGCGAACTCAATTCGGCCGACAAGGAGAGTCGCACCATCGGACGGCCACCCAGCTCCCACGAAGGTGACTGCCGCCATGCTGGCAAGCTCGGGGCCGACGAGGCGCGAAGTCTCGCTGCCTCGGCCCTCGCCCGCGCTTCGCAGCGAGGCGGCCACCTGGCGGGGCGCTGGCGGCGCGCGCTTCCTCGGCGAGGTCGAGCAGCGCGGGCGGCCTGGCCGCGACCCCACCTGTCAGAGTGCCCCCCAGTCGCACGGTGACCAGGGGGACCCGTTGGAACGCAGCAGCGGCCGCAGGTCCCGCCCCAGCCTCAGCTCCGACAGCTCCTCAGGCAGCGGCGGTGACTCGATCGGGTCAGTCTCTGACTCAGGCCGGGCCGAGATCCTGAGAAGGCAGAGGGCATGCACCAGGGCAGCTCGTGGCGGAGGCGCGCGGGCGGACGTCGAGCCTGGGTTGGTCTTCTTGCAGACCAACAAGATCAAACCGCCCACTCGTGAAGCCTTTCGAGAGCGAGTGTGGAAGTTCCTGGAGTGGGGCAAGGAGGGCAGCCTGGGGGGGATCGCCACTCGGCGCCTGGACTAGCTGGCCGCCAAGTACATGGACGTCTTCTTCTTCGACGGGATGGAGGTCGGCGAAGGCTCCAGGCTGCTTGCGGCCCTGCAATGCCTGCGACCCAGCCTGGGAACGGGCCGCCACGGCAACTTTCCTGTGGCGCGGGCGGCAGTCGCGGGGTTCCGCCTCCGAGCGCGAGTAGGGACTCGGTAGCCCTTGTGCCGCCCGTGGGTGCTCGCGGTCGTCGGGGTCAGCCTGCTGCTGGAGGACCTGGAGTTCGTGGGCGCGCTCTGTCTGGCCTGGGACGGCATGCTGCGCCTGCCGTCCGATCTGGTGAGCATGGCGCCCAAGACCTTGATCGGGCCTGGCAGGGGGGCGAAGCCCGCGCGGGCGCTGCTCCTGTACCCGAGCGAGAAGGAGGCGAGGGGCAAGGTCCAGGGCGCCGACGAGGGGGTGATCCTGCGGGGGGCCTGCTGGAGCGGCGGCGGCGGGGCGGCCCTTCGGCGCCTGCGAGGGGCTCGGACTCTCGGTTGCCAGCTCCGGTCGTTTGACGGCCCTTGGTTCACCAAGCGTTTCGAGGAGCGGCTGGCAGCGCTGCCCGAGGCGCCCGCCGCGGCGGCCTACCAGGTGCGCCACGGGGCTGCGAGCCACGCTGCAGTGGTGGATCTGCTCCCGCTCAGCGCCGTGACCGAGCGGCTGCGGCGCGCCAATTCCCGCGGCAGCTTGCGCTACGCCATGCGCGTCCGCTACCTGGCGATGCTGAGCCAGGTGCCGCAGACCGTCGCGGACTGGAGCGAGCTGATCCACGCGCGGCTGGGGGGCCTGCTCTCGGGCACCGGCATCTTGGAGGCCCCCGCCTTTCCCCCTCGGAGTGCGCTGGCAACCTTGCGCGACAGTTGCGCCAAGGGCTCCAGATCGGGTGCGAGCAAAATAGCAGCGTATTCCTCGAAGTTGGGTTCTCGAAAGGTGAAGTGAGACGATGCCTGAGTGAGTCCGCTGAGCATAGTTCGATTTGGGTCAGTGCCTCCATGTGCGATCTCGCCGTGGTCCGCCGCATGCTCACAGGGTGGGTCGGTCATTGTGCGGCGCGCGGCGTTATTGTGATGCTTCTCGATCTGAGCTCGGATCGCACGGGGGGATGGCTGGTATCAGCTTCGTTCTAGTGTGTGTGTGTGTTTGTGTGTATGTGTGCAAATGTGCGTGCAACCGTCTCAAGATTGCTAATGCGACCTTTCCCGCTGGGTGCCCAACGATCGTAGTCAGTCTTTGTAAAGAGCAACTAGCTTCTGTTCAAGAGTATCTGGCTTTGGGGAGCCGCGCCCGTGTCGTTTGGATCTCCGAGGCGGCTTCTTGCACCTTTTCGGTTTCGGACCGCCACGGGCCGCTCAAAATTTCAAAGGCCTCGGTTGGGCCGTTTGTTGGTATAGTGATTCGCGTTGCCGCCACCGCCGTGCCGCCGCGCCGAGCTGGTCGCCATCCGTCGTCTTGGGACGGTCGCTGGCTTCTCGCCCCAGCGTTCATTTGAAGGGGGCTGCCGACAATAATCAAACCGACAATTTGTTTCGCCTGGTGTGCTGACTTGGGCCAGGGGCAATTTCGGGCGGTTTCGGGAACGATCAGTTTCGCTGTTTGTGAAGTCAACCGTTGCACCATCCGAGAGATACGATCTGGATGTGAAGAATAGAGAATAGTGTTGTCTGGCCGCGCTCGGGGAGGGGGCGGGCTGAGCTTGTTCTTGAAACGTTGTTGCCCGTCTGCCCTTTCCGCCGCCCTTTTTGGCTCCGTCCAAATTCGCTCAAGCTCCCTCCGCTCCCTCCCCGCTTGGCGTGGCCTCGCCAAAAGTGGAATTCAAAGGGGAACGATCGAGTCCGCTGCTTGTGAAATCAACCGCTGCACCGTCCGAGAGATATACGATCTGGATGTAAAGAACCGAGAGAAGTGTTGTCTGGCCGCGCTCGGGGAGGGGGCGGGTTCATCATCACCAGCATCAGCATCATCAGCAGCATCAGCATGATCAGCATAATCCTCAGCATCCTCATCCTTCTCCTCCTCCTCCTCTTCCTCCTCCTCCTCCTCCTCCTCCTGCTCCTCCTCCTCCTCTCCTCCTTCTCCTCCTCCGCCTCCTCCTCATCTCCTCCTCCTCCTCTCCTCCTCCTCCTCCTCCCTCATCCTCCTCCCCCCCATCCTCTACTCCTTGTCAACTTGTCCCTTCTCCTGTTCCTCCTCCTCCGGCTGCTGTTGCCTGCTGCTGCTGCCCCTTCCTGGCTGATTCCTCCTCCTCCTCCCCTCCTCCTCCTCCTCTCCCTCCCTCCCTCACATCCCTCCCTCCCTCCTCCCTCCCTCCCTTGCCTCCCCTCCCTCACCCTCCCCCTCCTCCCCTCCCCTCACCCTGCCCTCCCTCCCTCCCCCCTCCTTGTCCAGGCATCACGCCCACGCCCGCCCCGGGTCGCGGTGGGCCGTCCGCCAGGCCAGGTTTCCGCATATGCTTGTTTTTTTCTGGCTTTGTGCAGTCCTCCTCCTCCTCCTCCTCCTCCTTCCTCCTCCTCCTCCTCCTCCTCCTCCTCCTCCGCTCCGTTTCTCCTCTTCCCCTCCTCCTCCTACCCCTCCTTCCTCCTGCTACCTCCTCCTCTCCTCTTCCTCCTCCTTCTGCCTTCTCCTCCTCCTCCTCCTCCTCCTCACCTGCTCCTGCTCATCCTCCGTCCCCCGTCCCCACGTCCGCCTGTTTCCATGCCCCAGTGCCCCTCTCTCATCATCCTAGCTTTTCTTCCTCTCCTCCTCCTCCGCCTTCTCCTTTTTCCCGCCCCCTCCCTCCCTCCCTCCCTCCCTCCCTCCTCCCTCCTCCCTCCTCCCTCAGTCGCCGTCCCGGCTCGAGGGGCCTTGGGAGCAGTTACCAGGTAACTGCGAGCCCCTCACTTCCGGGACTGCTGCTAGACGCGCCCCGTGCAGCCCATCATGGTGCTGCCTCGTGGCCGTGCAGGCCCCGTGCGCCACGCAGGGCGTGCGTGTGAGCCCGCGTGGCACCGTCGGGCCAGGGCGTGCCGTGCAGCCGCCCGTGTCATCCTCCGCCTTGCGGCGGCCAGAAGATTGCTACAACGACACCACAGTCGTCAGCCGCAAGGACCCGCTCGGCCAGGACCCATGGGAAAGTCAGAAGTGACGTGGTCTCCTCCAGGATCACCATGGGCGTGCTCGATCTGTTTCTGTTCCAACTGGCACGAGCGGGTGGATTGCCGTCAGCGTGGTACGCCGAAGCCCGAGATGCCTCCATGGCGACGTCCATCCCGTCGCTCGGACAGTGCACCTCCTGTTCGAGAGGCAGCCCGTGGCAAGGGCAAAGGAGGGAAGGACAAGGCTATGCGTGCACTACGAAATGCCTCGCCATCTCGAGGCATCCTCATCAAGGACAAGGACAAGGACAAGGAGAAGGACCAGAGTTTCTCGCAGCAGGAGTCTGGTGCCTTGACGTCCGACGACTACAGGTCTGCCAGGGGCCTACTACACATACGGCCAGCACTACCTCGAGATGCTCGCCAACATCCAAGATGAATGGCGCCGCCTGGGGCACAGGCGTCCGACTCCGAGGTGGAGGCGTACAAGGAACAGGTCTCGGCGAGACTCGAGGCCTTGAATACGATCATCCTCGACAAGCTCGATGCAGGAGAGGAATACGACGATGCTGTGCTCGAGTTTGCCACGACGCTGACAATGCTGTTCAGTGCAAGAGGCCTCAAGGCACAGCTCGGCAAGCAGGAGGAAGCTCAAGAACGGGCCGAGACGCGCTTGCAGAAAGCGCAGGATGTGCTGGACGATCTACAGGCGCAGGTGAAGCAGGCCAATATCGATGTCGAGACAGCCCGCCGCGACCTCGACCACATGAACAAGACGATCACGGAGCTCAAGACCCTGATCGCGGCCGAAGGAGAAGGTGCCAAGCGTGCGGCAGACGCCCAGCCGAGTCCTGGGCTTGGTGCTGCTGGGACGCATGCTGGACCACCTGCTGCTCATGGAGTTCCTGTGGCTCAGGGTGGATCTGCGCCACGGCTCACAGCACTGGGCGCGCTGGCAGCACATCAGGCCCAGATCTCGGCCATGATGGCGCAGTTGCAGGGCTTCCAGGGTGTCATTCACCAGCTACAACTACATGCAGGAGGGGGCCTGGACACCCCTGTGCCGCAGCAGCGCGTGTCCTTCGCGACGGAGGACCACGGCGGCGCTGCGGCGGGAGCGGCGGCGGCTGGTGCAGCGGCGCCGGCAGCCCGAGC